ACACTAGCTGTCATATTAGTCCGCCAATACAGTAATCGGTTCTAGGACTGAAATTCCTTACTATTTTAGTAAATATCAAGAAGTTTGTACTATTCAATAATTTTAAATCTTATATTAAATTTTTTAGTCATTTTAACAATTATTTAACATAATTTAAGGACTGTACAGGGAAACTAGTTTTTAGCGTGCCAAACAGCCTGTCAACACACCATACAGGCGTCAGTCTCTGTGTCTTTTAAGTGGAGGTAAAATCTTGCTTCAGACTCTCTTCAACATAAACGATTTTTTTCTGTTTCCAGTCAACTTATTGGTCATTTTGAAATTTATTTTACATATTGACAATATATAATGCAGTGCAGTGTTGATTTAAAGAAAATAATCTTGAATTATACCAAGTGAACTAAAATTTTATGGGTGAAATGGCAGCATGGGGTGACCTCTCTTCCACCCCAATGCCTTCGCTTCTCCCTTCCCCTCCACCCCCATTCTAATTCCCATCATCATCAACCAGGAGCCTTCTACATACACACCTCAAAGTAAGTGTACTTTACTAACTTTTTTGTTTGACTTCAGGCAATTTTCAGTGAGCTGGAACCAATTACCCAAAAACCCATTGAAACAATGGTTTTGGTTAACGAGCAACCTTCTAGAAAGAATTGTGCTCATTAACCGAAGGACCACTGTATGGTAATCAAATACGAAAACCTTGCCACAAACATTAAACCAATATTAACCTAAGATATAATAAATGTAATATTTTACATGTCAGATCAGTGTTGATAAACTGTAGGTTAGGTTAGGTTAGGTTAGGTTAGGTTACAGTTTTATGATAAAATAAATGTATGTAATATTTTACATGTCAGATCAGTGTTGATAAACTGTAGGTTAGGTTAGGTTAGGTTAGGTATTACAGTTTTATGATAAAATAAATGTAATATTTTACATGTCAGATCAGTGTTGATAAACTGTAGGTTAGGTTAGGTTAGGTATTACAGTTTTATGATAAAATAAATGTAATATTTTACATGTCAGATCAGTGTTGATAAACTGTAAGTAATAAAGAATTAAAAACTTCTTAAAATTATATGTCCTGGGAGCTTTAAGCCTACTGTACTGTACACTCACATTAGGTTAACTGGGACAACCTGTTTGAAGAATGTTCACATTTCTTTTGTATCTTCTTAATTCATCAATGTTAGTCAATATTCAGGTACCCACAGAAAGGCGAGACATTCATCTTGCTGTATGTGGCCTAAAATACTACGAACATCTTTAATAATCTTGAAAAAACAAACTTTAAGTACAGTACGTGGGTTTAAGACTAAGCTTTAAGTAGAGTACATCGATACAGTACAGTACGTGGGTTTATAACTAAGCTTTAAGTACAGTACATCGATACAGTACAGTACATCGGTACAGTACATCGGTACAGTACAGTACATCAGTACAGTACAGTACATGGGTTTAAAACTAAGTTTTAAGTACAGTACAGTACATCAGTACAGTACATGGGTTTAAAACTAAGTTTTAAGTACAGTACATCAGTACAGTACATGGGTTTAAAGCTAAGCTTTAAGTGCAGTACATCGGTACAGTACAGTACATCAGTACAGTACATGGGTTTAAAACTAAGCTTTAAGTACAGTACATCGGTACAGTGCAGTATGTGGGTTTATAACTAAGCTTTAAGTACAGTACATCGATACAGTACAGTACGTGGGTTTCAGGCAAGTTGCACTTGTTTCAAGACCCGAGGGAAGATTTATTACAGTTTCTTAATTCTACAAAGTTAGTCAATATCAGGTCATCCACAAGACTGAGAGACATTGTTCTTGCTTCGTCTGACAAAAACAACAACAATAATATTGCCCCAAATATAATAAAAACCAGAGTTACATCACTTAATTCACCGGCAGTGGTTGTGATGCTTCACACCAAGAGAAACTTGCTATATTTTATTAAGTATATATTGTAAGGCAATATCCCATTGTCCACATTATCCTCAGACATTCAAAAGTAAAATCTTTACATTGCTAATAAGTTAAAAAATTTAGTTGTTTCGACCATGTCATCAGTGAAATGGCCAGCAGCCACACGGGTGTTTCCTTGTAATGTTTTTTGGAGGACTTTGAGAACACGAGGCATTCACTTTGTTATATTCGGCCACGTTAAAGCCTTAGTCTTACAAGTAATCTTAAAAAAATAAAACATCAACCAAGACAAGGCCGTAGTCCTTGTGGTCACCACAGGTCGCGTGACGTCATTGAATGGGCAGAGCTAAAGTTTATGATGTTACAGAGGTGTGTCCTTACTGTATATAGTCCTTGGTCAGTGGTACTTAGTCATTATACAGAGGTGTGTCCTTATCGTATAGTCCTTGGTCAGTGGTACTTAGTCATTATACAGAGGTGTGTCCTTACTGAATATAGTCCTTGGTCAGTGGTACTTAGTCATTATACAGAGGTGTGTCCTTACTGTATATAGTCCTTGGTCAGTGGTACTTAGTCATTATACAGAGGTGTGTCCTTACTGTATAGTCCTTGGTCAGTGGTACTTAGTCATTATACAGAGGTGTGTCCTTACTGTATATAGTCCTTGGTCAGTGGTACTTAGTCATTATACAGAGGTGTGTCCTTGGTACTTAGTCATTTAAGCACAATTTTAAATATGTACACCCAGTCTCACACACATGTATAGATACAGGCTTTATATCTACGAGGGAATTATGTCAAGTATTTTAGAATCACAGCCTCTTTGAAATTAATTTTGGGGACAAGTATATGTAAAGTGCAACTGAACTGACACCTAATGGGAAGACCAAGTCACTGAAGGAAAGGTGGGGGAGAAGAGAAGGGATTCGATGAGGGAGGGGGATAAGAGGTTAGGTGGGTAGTGAAGGGGCTGATGGACACAAAAAGATCAAAGGGAAAGTCCACTGCCATGGCCACTGCCACCTGACCTCACCAAACCTCTAGGTATGTGACCGTGTGGTGTCTACCCACACCTTCCCCTTCACTCACACCATACCTAACTTTTACAATGGTTAATAATTAATTAGTTAATTAAAAATATATTATTAGTTTACATGTAACGAGAAGCGATTTTTTTCAAATTTATTGGGATAAAAGTTTTAAAAAATCATATCCAAGTAAAAGTACTAAAAAATTTTAATTTTTAAAAAGTAAACAACCAAAAAAGTTACTTGAGTATATTACTCAAGTAACATTTATTATGTTACTTTACAACTCTGTCTAAAAGCCACGAATCATCAACCAACCAAACTTAACCTAACCTAACCAGCCAAACCTAACCCGACCAACCAAACCACTCGACCCAACTTAACCTAACCATCTTACAATACCTTACCTTCAAGTATGAGGTTTGATATATCAGGTTTGGTTTATGTTAAATATAAGACACGAACACTGAGTTACGCACATCACCAAATAACCCAATTTCGTAGTAATAAACTAATAATAAGTTTTAGTTAGTTAAGGTAAACAAGAATAAATTATATTAGTATTTTCATCATAAATAACAAATATTTATGAGCTGAATAAACTTACTGGTAAAATTATTAAGTAATAGAAAACGTTAACATATAATTTAGCTGTTGCTCTTACCTACTGATGAGACGCAGGGAGGACGAGGGTTCATCTCTCATCTCACCACAGGGAGGACGAGGGTTCATCTCTCATCTCACCACAGGGAGGACGAGGGTTCATCTCTCATCTCACCACAGGGAGGACGAGGGTTCATCTCTCATCTCACCACAGGGCGGACGAGGGTTCTCTCATCTCACCACAGGGAGACATCTCTCACCACAGGGAGGGTTCATCTCACCACGAGGGTTCATCTCCATCTCACCACAGGAGGGCGAGGGTTCATCTCTCAGCCACCACAGGGCGACAGGTTCATCTCATCTCACCACAGGGAGAACGAGGGTGTTCATCTCATCATTCACCAGAATCATCACCCAGAGGGAGAGGGTTCATCTCTCATCTCACCACAGGGAGGGCGAGGTTCATCTCATCTCACCACAGGGAGGCGGGTTCATCTCTCATCTCACAGAGGGAGGACGAGGGTTCATCTCTCATCTCACCACAGGGAGGACGAGGTTCATCTCTCATCTCACCACAGGGAGGGGCGAGGGTTCATCTCTCTCATTCCACCACAGGGAGGACGAGGGTTCATCTCTCATCTCACCACAGGGGAGGACGAGAGTTCATCTCTATCTCACCACAGGAGGCGAGGGTTCATCTCTATTTCACCACAGGGAGGACGAGGTTCATCTCTCATCTCACCACAGGGAGGACGAGGTTCATCTCTCATTTCACCACAGGGAGGACAGGGTGTTCGTCTCCTCTCATTTCACCAGGTCATCTCACCACAGGGAGGACGGAGTTCATCTCCTCTCATTTCACCAGGTCATCTCACCACAGGAGGACGACCCAGTTCATCTCTCATTTCTTGGAGTCATCTCACCACAGGGAGGACGAAGGTGTTCATCTCCTCTCATTTCACCAGGTCATCTCACCACAGGGAGGACGAGGGTGTTCATCTCCTCTCATTTCACCAGGTCATCTCACCACAGGGAGGACGAGGGAGTTCATCTCCTCTCATTTCACCAGGTCATCTCACCACAGGGAGGACGAAGGTGTTCATCTCCTCTCATTTCACCAGGTCATCTCACCACAGGGAGGACGAGGGTGTTCATCTCCTCTCATTTCACCAGGTCATCTCACCACAGGGAGGACGAGGGTGTTCATCTCCTCTCATTTCACCAGGTCATCTCACCATTGCCACTTCATAATTATCACCAACAGCTTCTTCAATATCTCCTACATCATCAAGCCTGAAACCATAGAACCATTTAATTGATAGAAAAAGAAGAATTGATGGTGTTTGTATCACAGAACTCACCAGTAATTAACCTTTAAATAGTTAATAAACATGAGCTAACGAACACAAAGTCTATTAATACATATAGAGTAACAGTTTGCATGTTCTCTTCTCTCACGAGGCAGAGGGTTAAGGTGTAGATAACGGCTACCACCACAAGTCGTTTGTTGATTTTATTAATTTTTGCTGTACTTGGTGTTTTGATTATTTTAAGTTTACTAAAAGAAAAAACGACAAAACTTTCTATTATGATTTAATTTTTTTTCACGTATCACAATTTTCCTCCCGGCGCCATCTTTGTTTACCTCACACAAGAGCCAATGTGAACTTGGATGGTTATTTTAATGACTAACTAAGGATCTATTTATCCCAGACCATAATGGAAATAATCTTTGGATGTCTTTTCTAAATTAACCTTTGGTTTAGTGGACTTACATTGTGTACTTTTGTAGTACAATGATGATCTTGTCTGGCGGTGGTGGTTGTTAGGGTGGCGTTCTGTTGTTGTTGAGTCAGAAGGATTAAAACCTTCCTGCTGTATCACCAGAGTATACTGTATAAGTACACGAGGCTGTATCACCAGAATATACTGTATAAGTACACGAGGCTGTATCACCAGAATATATTGTATACTGTATAAGTAACGGGACTCTTGACAACCACCTCCCGTAATCACAATGGCGTCCACCTGAGTCATTACCCGGAGGAGTAACTGGGGGAGTGATGCGGCCACGCGCGCCGTCTATGACAGGTTCATCACCACTCAACGGCAGGTGTTCTTGTTGCGGCTGTTTTCTGTTGTAGCTGATGCTAACTTTCTGTAGAAGTCAAGGCTTATATTAGTAATTATATCTCTTGATCATCCTGTCAAAAAAAGCAAATATATTGTTTATACCATATGACGCACATCTTATTGTGACCATCCTGTGAAAAAACACAATATAAGCTGCCCTCTGTATATTAAAGGTTAAAATAGAGTCTCGGTGTAAATTTTGTCTCTCAGCTGGTGGTGTTAAGTGAATATGACACACACTGTTGCTTTCATTGTTATTAAGTCAGTTTCCTGGTACAGTTAAGGTGGTCGAGAAAGGTGAAGCACACACACACACACATCGTCAACTGCTGTAGTACATGTGGTCTACTGTACAGTAGTGTTCACTATCAATAACACGTAGTAAATTGAGAGAGAGAGAGAGAGATGAAGTGGAAGATGAGGGTAATGGGGAGGTAAGATGGGTGAGTGTGTGGGTGTAATTGGTGATGGATGAAGGGAGAGACGACGATGGATGGATGGATGGATGGAAGGGAGGGAGGGAGAGGAGGGTTTGGAAGGGAGGGAGAGGAGGGTTTGGAAGGGAGGAAGAAGAGGGTTTGGAAGGGAGGGAGGGGAAGAGACGAGCAAAGTTTGATAGAAAGAAAAGTAATGATTAGCTCTCCACCAGCTCTCTCTCTCTCTCTCTCTCTCTCTCTCTCTCTTTCTTTCTCTCCACCAGCTCTCTCTTTCTCTCTACCAGCTCTCCTTCCTTCCCTCTCTCTCTCTCTCAACAACCATCACCACAACATTACACAGTCAAACCCTCACCCGGGAATCACAAGGACGCACTAACTACCCCTATATATAATGGTTATCGCCTTAGTGGCCATGGTGCTTAAGGGGGAGGTGATGAGGGGGCAACACAGTGCTAAACTATCTCACTGTTAAGGGTATAATGTTGATGGGTCCTGAGGGAAAGGCGTGTGTCTGGGTGCGTGTGTGTGTGTTTGGGTGGGTGGGTGTGTGAGAGAGAGAGAGAGAGAAAACAGGCGTGTGTGTGTTTGGGTGCGTGTGTGTGTGTGAGAGAGAGAAAACAGGTGTGTGTGTGTGTGTGTGTTTGAGGCAGACAGAAAGAGAGAGAGAGAGAGAGAGAGAGAGAGAGAGAGAGAGAGAGAGTCAAAACATACATACCAAGAAACAAACACAAACAAACAAACGGTAAACACAACCTCAAAAACAACAAGTGTTATGGAGGTGAAAACTATTTGGCTGGTTGGTTATTGTGGTAAAGTTGAGTCCCAGGGTTCGAGGTTTCATTCAACAAAAGTTCAAGCCGGCTCATGTGGGATTCGTGGCACGCTTCGAATCCTCGGTGGGTGTGTGTGTGTGTGTGTGTGTGAGGTCAGTGGCGCTATCTAGTTCATTTTATCTTGATGTCTAAAGAGGTTTGTTTTATAAATATGACAGACAGACAGACAGACAGACAGAGACAGACAGACACAGAAAATGCTAGTCACAGATAGAGAGAGAGAGAGAGAGAGAGAGAGAGAGAGAGAGAACCACCACCATCTCAAAGTCAACACAATAAGCTGGCCGCGACCTCTCTTCTACACATAACATCAGATAAGCTTCGGACGCTTCAAGCTGAGGAAAAGATTCGCTGCAAAGTCTAACCCGTTTTTAACCCCCATCCTGTCTTCACTTTAGCGACGGGTTATGTAGTTGACGTGAGAACCTTTGAGTGTCTTTTTGGGAGGTCTGTCTGTCTGTCTGTCTGTCTGTCTTTGTCTGTCTGTCTTTGTCTGTCTATATCTCTCTGTCTTTGTCTGTCTGTTCCTCGCATAAGAGAAACAATTGGTTCAACAGAAAATCTTCCTCACTACAAATTGGCGCCAAAAATCCCCGCCACAAGAGCTAATTTGGCCGGGAAAATGACTAGCCTCCCACCAACGAATTAAAACTTCTCTCTTATTGGTCACAGCTTCGGGGAGCCAATCAGAACTCGCGTAGCATCTTAAGTGATCATTTACACGTAATAACTGAAATGAGGAGGAAAAATATGTGGTTATTACTGAAAACAGGAGAGATATTCCCCCGCCACGCAGCCTGAATTGAAACACTCGGAAAATAACACTAAATATTCCCGCCACAAGTGTAATTTTACGCCAAACGACTACACTTATACAGCCAATTAAAACTTCCCTCGTATGGCCAAACAGCATCAGGGAACCAACCAGAATTAGCCTATATTTTTAAGCACTCGCTACAAGCACCAATTAAAATCAACTATTTTTTTATGTGGTTCCTGGTGAAAAATTCCCGCCAAAAAAGAACAATTTTGGCAGGAAAATCAACATACTCACCGCAGCCAATCAAAACTTTTCTTCTACAACACAGAGCCAGAGAGCCAATCACATGACCGTAAACATGTAAACAGACGATAAAAGTGAACAATAATTAATGATAGCTGCGTCAGTGAGGGCAGGGCGTCGCTTGGCTCACAACATAAACACAGGGATTTGAAGATAACTCCCTCGCATGGATAAACTGTATCAGTCAGTCAGTCAGTCAGGATAAACGGGCATTGAGTTGACGACGCATCTTAAGTTAGCAAAGGCTATGTAAAGTGGGAGAGGTGGTGGAGGAGGGAGAGGTGGTGGAGGAGGGAGAGGAGGTGGTGGAGGAGGAGGGAGAGGTGGTGGAGGAGGAGGGGGTGGTGGAGGGAGGGAGAGGTGGTGGAGGGGGAGGAGGGAGAGGGTGGTGGTGGAGGGAGAGGTGGTGGAGGAGGGAGGGTGGTGGTGGAGGGAGAGGTGGTGGTGGAGGGAGGAGGTGGTGGTGGAGGGAGAGGAGGTGGTGGAGGAGGGAGGTGGTGGAGGAGGAGAGGAGGAGGGGTGGAGGTGGTGGAGGGAGGGAGAGGTGGTGGTGGAGGAGAGAGGTGGTGGGTGGTGGAGGAGGAGAGGGAGGTGGTGGAGGAGGAGAGTGGTGGAGGAGAGGGAGAGGGAGGAGGTGGTGGAGGAGGGAGAGGGAGGTGGTGGAGGAGGGAGGAGGGTGGTGGAGGAGGGAGAGGAGGGTGGTGGAGGAGGAGGGAGGTGGTGGAGGAGGGAGAGGAGGTGGAGGTGGTGGAGGGAGGAGGAGGTGGTGGAGGAGGTGGTGGAGGAGGGAGAGGTGGTGGAGGAGGAGGGAGGTGGTGGAGGAGGAGAGGTGGTGGTGGAGGAGGGGTGAGGTGGTGGAGGAGGGAGAGGAGGTGGTGGAGGAGGGAGAGGAGGTGGTGGAGGAGGGAGAGGGTGGTGGAGGGAGGTGGTGGAGGAGGAGAGGTGCCGGGGTTAGGTGCTCCACGCTCTGTTAAACCGGAAAATTAACACCAGGTGGAGCTAACAGCCTCCATCATACTGCTGTGTTAGATTGTGTTAAGACTGTTAAGAGTGTGTTATCCTGCCGCGTGGTGATGATGGTTAAAAGATAAGTTATTAGTATTCATGAGAAAATTTGTAACTTAAAAGAAAATTAAATATGGTCTATTGTCTGTTGATACACACACACACACACACACACACACACACACACACACACACACACACCCCTTTCCCTCCTCCCTCTCCCCCCTCCTTCCCCCTCCCCCTTCCCGCCCCATCCCTCCCCCCATGCCCCAGTGACCTCCTTGGCCAAATCCTAAAGCGTGGGGTCATTAGGCACGAGTCTTGTGGGTTAGGTCAGGAAAGGTCAGGGTCAGGTCAGGTTAGGTCAGTTCAGGTCAGGTAAGGTTAGTTCAGGTAAGGTTCGTTGAGGGAGGTTATTATGATATAGAACACACAGACAGACAAACAGACAAACAGACAGACAGACAGACAGAGACAGACAGAGACAGACAAAATGAACTGTAAATTTAGAGAGAGGACTTAAAAGGCTTACCAATATAGCAATGAACTGAGAGAGAGAGAGAGAGAGAGAGAGAGAGAGAGAGAGAGAGAGAATGACCAGGATGAGTGAGGGAGTCCATCTGAGAAAATCCTGGCTTGTGATTGGTAGCTAGACATTGATTCACTGTTCTCTGATTGGTCGATGGGTCCTCGCTCGCTGCTCTCTCATTGGTCAGATCATACGAGTACTGTGGTCGATTTCTTTAACCAGTTTTTATGAGGAACTTTCCTAGTTTAGAGAGAATTACCCAAGTTTCCGAAAGTTAATTTGGGTTCCTAAGTGGTGAGAGAGAGAGAGAGAGAGAGAGAGAGAGAGAGAGAGAGAGAGAGAGAGAGAGAGAGAGAGAGAGAGAGACCAACCTTCAGAATATTAATCACACACACACACACTCTACCACCACAAAATGTCGACTTTCTTCTCTTCATTAGTTATTCATCCCTGGTTGTCGAAAGGTCAGGAGGCCGCTGTTCCAAATTTAATTATTGTGCTTCTTTAATCTCATCTCATCCACAACCAGACTGAATATTTGGTGGGGTGGGTTGGGTTGGGGTGAGGTTGGGTTGGGGTGAGGTTGGGTTGGGATGAGGCGGGTTGGGGTGAGGTTGCTTGGGGTGGCTGGGTTGGGGTGAGGTTGGGCTTGGGATGAGGCTGGGGCTGGGATGAGGTTAAGCAATGAGGTTGGGCTAGTGAGGCCAGTGGGGTGGGTTAGGTCAGATCAGTGTACCAAAGGGCGCCAGATGACCAAAAAAACCCATCATAAACACAAGATTTCCAACCTTATTATCCCTCACGTCTAGCACTCTTTTACCCCGAGTCAGGTCATACCGCCCCTCCTCCATCACCCAGCCTCAGTGCCTCTCCCCAGATGGCACTAGCTGGCACTGAGGCCCCCTGAGTGCCAGAGTAGAGATGAAGTATGTAGTTGAAATGGTTAAGGAGTTGTTTAAAGGTTGAAGTATAGGTGGTGGTGGTGGTCGGTCTGTCTGTCTGTCTGTCTGTCTGTCTGTCTGTCTGTCTGTCTGTCTGTCTGTCTCTGTCTGTCTGTCTGTCTCTTCACCTTCCTTTCACTCGTAAATGTATAGAATGGGAGGTATGCAATAATAATAATAAAAATAATAATAATAATAATAATAATAATAATAACAA